AGTTTTAGGATGGCTGTGGCTCAGGGTGGCAGGCATGCTCTCAAGAGATAGCTGGAGGTAATTTCAGAGATACTGGATGTCCTTGTAAGGTACAAGTAGAAATGTCTCCAGGGAAACTGCTCCTTCACAAAGCCTTGAGACTTCAGAGACCGATGGCCTTCATTACATGAAAGGTGGGCACATTCTTGTCAGCCAGCTCAGGGTATTTGGACACGTAGACATTTTCTCTTGGCAACCATCACTCCTTTCTTAAAAAGGAGTTCGTAATCTGATCCTTAAGGATCAACATCACGGCAGCTGCAGGGTCCGAGACGGAGGCTGGAAGGGAATACTTGAATTTTTAAGAGTTTGTATATTTTAAAGAGATTGAAATTTTAAAGACTGAATTTGTAAAGACTGTGGGACTTAAAAGATTATGATTTTCATGTGAGGTCGTGGGGATGAATGACAAAGAAAGGTGTGTGGCTTAATAGAGATGTTTGTGTGTCAGGTTGGCAAGGGTCAGTTGTCCTGGCTGGTCTTGTGTGTCATCTTGACACAAGCTAGAGTCATCAGAGGAAGGAGCCTCAGTTGAGAAATGCCTCAGTGAGATCCAGCTGTAAGGCATTTTCTCACTTATTGATCAATGGGGGAGGGTCCGGCCCATGGTAGGTGGTGCGACCCCTGGACTGGTGGTCCTGAGTTTTATAAGAAAGCAGGTTGAGCAAGCCATGGGAAGCAAGCCAGTAAGCAGCTCCCTTTCATGGCCTCTCCATCAGTTTCTACCTTTGGGATCCTGCCATTTGAGTTCCTGTTCTGACTTCCTTCAGTGGTGAACAGCAAGGTTGAAGAGTAAGCCAAACAAACCCTTTCCTCCCTAACTTGCTTTTTGATCATGGCGTTTCATTGCAGCAATAGAAACCCTAACTATGACACTGTCTTAGTACATCTTGGTTTCTGTGTGTGTGTCCTGGAACCAATGCCTGAGGATGTGAGGGAAGACTGTAGATATCTGTGTATGTTTACGTGTATATGCATGTTCACATAGCACATGTGCTCATGTGTGTACGTCCAGATCAGACTCTGTTGGATGTTTTTTTTTTTTGACCACATTCTGTACTTAGGCATGGTCTCTGGAGAACCTAGAGGTCACTAATTAGGGTAATCCCTTCCCAAGAATGCCATCTCCACCTCTGAAGTGCTAAGACTCTAAGTAGGCTGGCATGCCAACCTGGCATTTACTTTGGTCCTTAGCACTTTATCCACTGAGTCGTGTCTCTAGCTTTGGAATTAATTTTTAAGATATGATATTATTAAGGGAGGTCACTATTTTTCTTTTCTTTCTTTTGTTTTTGAGACCAAGCCTAACTGTGTATTCCTAGCTGGCCTGGAACTCACCTTGCTATGTACACCAGGCTGGTCCAGAATTCAGAGATCTTGGAACTGAAGGCCTACACACCTGACAGAGGTTCTTTCTTATTGGAAATTCATCTTCTCAGTGGGGTCCCCATGATGTATTTAACACGACTTTTTTCCCATCCCTGGGCACCCCTACTTCTGCTTCACTGCTTCACCTTCACCACGAATACATATCCTTCCTGTCACATCATCGAATCTACTCGTCTCCTTACTGTTTCCTCGGTGGCATCGCGAGTGTGCCCTCAGTGACTGTTTGACACTTTGTATGCAGAAGTTTCAGGGTGAGTGCTACTTATAATGCACTCACATTCTCTCTCCTGGATTTGCTGATATTAGTTCATTGGCGTTTAGGCCAGGATTCCGGAGGAAGATGAGGTAGGCTGAATAGACACGCTGTCCACTCACTGAGTATAGCACCCATCTTTCCAAGGACCAAAGCAGAGTGGGAACCCTGAGGCTCTTGATTTTCTCACCTACTAAGTAGCCTCAAAGTACTCTGGAGTACAGATGAAAGATGCAGTGCTGAGGAGTTAATTTCTCTATGATGTAAAAAGATAGGGTTTTTACCTAACAGAAGTTAAGAAACCGTATTTCTGCCTGACACCTGGTATTTGTTAAAGGCAAGACCTGAAATCAAGTCCAGGTTTGTTCTAGGGATTTGGCAGATGCAACTTTGCTGTACTGAGTCTTTATGCACACCAGTACTAAGAAGTAAGGGGGCTGGAGAGATGGCGAAGCTTCAGGGCACACACTGCTGCAGCACAGGACCCGAGTTCTGTTCCCAGCACTCACATCCATCAGCTCACAATCATCTCTAGGGATCCAAAAATTTATTCTGACTTTTACAGGCACCTGAATACTCAGCCTAGACACACATACACACTAAAAAACAAAACAAACAAAATGAGACAGGCAGTGGTGCTGCACACCTTTCATCCCAGCACTCGGGAGGCAGAGGCAGGCAGATCTGAGTTTGAAGCCAGCCTGGTCTACAGAGTGAGTTCCAGGACAGCCAGGGCTACAGAGAAAACCTCTTAAGAAAAAAACAAAACAAATAAAAAATCCAAACAACACCCCCCAATCCCGCGAACCAATCAACTAAACAAACAAACAAAAAATCCCCCAAACAAGACAGTTTTTGGTGTCAGTTTTGACTTCTCCTGGGTAATGTGATGAGCATTGCAGAGCATGCCCAAGCCCTCAGTTTGATGGCCAGCACAGGCTCTCCACCATGCAAGACACCCACCACTCATGCGTTTTCTCTCAACATCCTTGCCCTCAGCTGTGACCTGTCAGTACCAAGTGCCCAGTTCTTTCCTAACCGCTAGTGGAACACAGGGCTGTCAGGCCTTCTCTCGGTCTATCTGTAACACGACCTTGCTTAGCTCACCAGAAAATGAGGTGTCTCAGATTTATTGATGAACTCAATGACATGGATAATTTACAGAAAGCACAATCCCTGGTATTGGTACAGGCTTCCATAAATTCTTTGTATGATATATATTTAGTTTCCTGACTTGTGGGCGAGTCACTTTCTATCAAGTCCTTGAGGCTGGAGTCTAGCTCACTCTCAGAGCACTTGCTCACTCTGAGAGCACTTGCTCAACACTCTGAGAGTGTTGGCCTGTTTGTCCCTAGCATTGTAAACAGTGCAACACCCCCTTCCACTGTCTAATCATCTCCAGTTAAGGTACGGGTAACAATATGAATCACGTGTGAATTTCTTCACTTGGTTTCCAGTTTTCCTATTAAAAGTGACTTAAAACCAACGTTTGTTTATTTAATATGTGTCGAGTTTATGGGCCATAGTGCCCGTGTGGAAGTGAGGGGATAACCTGCAGGGGTGGGCTCTCCTCTTCACTATGGAGTGGTAACCAGGCTTGTAAAAAACAAGCCTTTACTCAGAGTCATCTCCCTCCTGGGCCCCTAAAAGCTGGATCCAAAAGAGAGCTCCACATTCATCTTCACAACATTGCGTACGACTGCAAATGATGAAGTAGCCCAGGTGGTAAAGACACACTGGCGAATCCTACAGCTTTAAAGAAGGCACTCTGGCACGTGCTGCAACACGCACTGACGAATCTAGGGCTTATCAGGCTGTGGGAAATGACCCAGTCACAAAAAGACCAAGACGAAGTGAAGCCACTTTCAAAGGGCTCAGTCTTCAAATTCATAGAAAGTAGAATGGCTGTTACAGAGCCGGAGGTAAAAACTTGGGGGATTAAGATTTAACCGGCGCAGGCTTGTTTTGCATGACAAAAAGAAAGGTAGAGGGAGGCTGGCCACACCGTGGTTAATTTTGTTAACAAGAAAACATTCAGAACATTCCCTTTCGTTGTACTTATTAAACTTAGGGTTTCCCTTTTCTTTCCCTCTCCCGAAGAATGCTCTTCGCACATTGTTCTCCCAACACATCACTCACTTCCGCTTGACCCGGCGGTGTTTCTTTTCTAGAATGGTCTTCACGATCCCCGCACTATCAATAAACTTGCTTGAATTTGCATCTTAAAGACGCTTCTATATCCGATCACGAGTCCCATTCAGCATAGGAATGAATCCCACTCTTCCGAACCAATCCTCTAGTCTTTCTGCACTACAGAGTCTCACTTGGCTTATTGTTTTAGCTCGTCTTTCAAACCTAACTCCCAAGTCCCGAGTACCAGTCTGCATTATCGCACATCTCCCAATACATACACATTCCCGCTCAGAAGACTCCCCGTAAACACCCAATCGCGATGGAGGAAGACAATCGACACTTTAAAGGTGATTTAAACCAGTGTGCAACTTCAACACAAAAGCTTTCAAAGCCAAATTGTTGGGGAGCACACCGGCGTAAGGCGGCAAAACCGGGCGTCCGTAGGCTCCTTGAAGGCAGCGCTGTAGTTTGCAAAGCCTGAACACTTCACAGACATTTTTGAGGGCCACGCGGGAGGGCAAGGCAACACTGACTGTAGTGAACTTGGGAAAGAAACAGACACGAGCTCTCTGGAGTCGCCGAAGCCTTCAATTCGCGGCTCGGTTTGCAAAAGCGCGAAGAAGGGTTTAAAAGCTGTGCTTCCGGTAGCGGCACTTGCCCGCATGCTCAGAAAAGCGAACCGAAGGGCACTGCCAGCTACGGGAAGTCGTGGGGGACAATTTCCTTCACCGAAATCGTCCGATGAATAGCGGGCACCCATAACCCAGAAGTGAAAGACTGTTCGCTTCACTATCAGACACCCCGACGATCAAAGGAAGTTCCGGCTGGAAGACTTGTCCACGCTCTCCTGACTCCTCTCTAGCTCTTTTATCTCACAGCCTTCTCCAAGTCTCGCTTGAGTTTTGCTTCCACTACTCGGAGGGCCTAAATATTCCTTGGTCACCTTTTCCATTAAAGCACCTATGGCTACGGGTCGCCATTAGAGTCAATCAACATCCTCCTAGCGAGGAAAGGGAGCCTGGAGCGGCCAGTGCGCCGGGCGTTACCATAGAGAGGAAGCCACCTCTCTGGGCTGAGTTTGCAGTCTCTATGGTTCAGCTGAGCTGGTGGCGGTAAGGGGAAACACAGTAAGGCCGCACTGCGCAGGCGCAGTCGGCTTCTCACTTTTTTTTTTTTTTTTTTTTTAATCCCCGCACCAAGCGCTTAACCTCATTGGGGTGGAGGAGAAGGCGGCGGCTGTCCGGTCCGCAGCCCCAACAGTTGTGAATAATAGAGCTGTAAGTACCGGGTTAAAGACGAAGAATGTTCAGACTGGAGTCCACTCGAGGGCCCTGCTCCCTTTCCGGGCGGCGGCGGGCGCAGGGTCCGGGTGGGGACGGTGTCCGGCGCTGTCAGTCGCTCTGGGGTGTACTTTTGGGGGAGGGGGCGGCCCTGGGATGGGATCGGGGTGAGAACCCAGGATGCGTGACTGCTAGGGCCAATCCTGATCGCAGGCTGCTTTGCAGAGGGGAGGTGGGGCGGCTGTGGGGTCAAGCCTGGCTTTGTGTGCCTGTCTCTTTCAGACCCCACCCCGGGGCCCCTTCTTGACCCGGAGTCTCCCCTGGCCGTCTTGGGAGACGCCAAAGCAGTCCGGGGTCTCTTTGAAAAGAACCCACATTGCACAGAGCGGGAAGGGGCTCCAGGAGAAGAAACCCCACTCCAACTAGTCATCGGCGAGTGATGGGTGTGGAGAAAGATTCATAGAGAAGAAGGGGTTGTCGGGGAGGCAGGCCGGGCGGCCGGGACTCCCAGCCCGGGCCAGACAAAAGCGGAGCAGCCGGGGCCCAGCGGGATGCAAAAGGTCCCCTTGGTCCCCAGGAGGGCCCCGCTGCGAGGGTCTTGGCTAAGCTGGAAAGAGCGGACAAGTGCTGAGTTAAGGCTGTTCAGCCTCCTCAACTTGCCTTTGTTGTTCTTTGGTTGGTATTGGCAGAGCCGCTCTGACGAAGATGAGTGTGTGATCTTGCATGTTAGTCTGGTTGGGTACAATGGAGCAGATTGAATTTTGCTTTCCATTTAATGAGCTGTTTGGATGAGTGTGGGGTTTTCCAAAGTCAAACTCATTATAAAAATATCTATAGATTTTAAAATTAGTTGTGTTTATTTCTTGAAAGAATGGAGCCTTAAAGCTTGTTGTGTCGCATCGAGTGGATTTCTGTTAGGGGATTCGTTCATGAGACACTGACCTAATGGTGGAACCTGTGAGTTCTTTAAACCTGATACTTTAATTTGTGATGTGGCGCCGAGTGCTTTGGATGCTCTAGTCCTCTGGGAGTCAGTGATGCGGGAGAGTCAAGAGTGATGCAGTTGCCTGCTACCCCGCACCTTGCACCAGATTCAGGTGCCACTGGCTAGTGTCAATTCTAGCCTTAGAAATTATTATTATTTTTATTGTTATTCATGAAATTTATGGAACTCTTGGTTTGAGGGATCCGAAACAGAGGGGTCTGGTTACTCATTCACGGAGTAGGAGGGAGAATAGCAACATTGATGCAGAGACATAGAGATAGGGAAAATAACACAGCGCCCAGAGAACTGAATATTATTTGTCTTTTTTTACTTGCTAAGAAAGATTTAAGTTTTAATGAGCTATTTGTTCATTCATCTTTGTAAAGTTGGCTAATTGCAGCCTTGTTGCAGGACTCAAATTTCAGTTTCTGTAAGTCATTGTTTATTACGGGTAACATGTAACTGCTAGTTTCTATTGTCAGCTTGACCCAACCTCCTCTCCCAGGAATTTCCCAGATCAGATTGACCTGTGGCCATGTCTATAAGAGATTGTCTTGATTGGTGGTTGATGTGGGAGTGCCTAGGCCACTGTGGGTGGCATTGTTCCTAGGCAGGTAGGTCTGGGCTGTATAAGAAAGCTAGCTGAAGTAGTCTGCTTTCTCTTTTCTCCTGCTTCTTCATCTGAAGCCATGAAACTCTCTGTCTTGCTTTGAGGACTCCTTGTGCTTTGTGTGCCAATTTATGCTAATGAAAATTTGTTTGTAGACTTCTGGCAAGATGCTACCCCAGTTTTATGAGTTGTAGGTAGGGACAGGCTTCTTTGAATTTAGTCAGATTGATTCCTGACTTTTTTGAATTTATTTGCTCTCTTACCTCTTATGAACTCGGGACACGTTTCTTACACGGAGTGCTCTCACCTCTCACTCCCCCCCCCCCCAGTAGAGAATCATAGAAATGCATGTAAATGGAAGAGCCAGCATCATTTCAAGTGCAGACTTTGGGGATCTAACTATGATGTTAATTTGGAATATTTGCCACTTTATTGGACTTTTTTCTTCTGGCTTAAGTGGAGGAATGAAGCTGTAAATTTGGGTGATTAAGGCAGCCTTGATACCAGCTGCCTCAGGATGGCACACCCCTCAAAAGTTGGATGCATGCCTATAGATAATAGTTTTTACTCTCTCAAAGTTTTAAAATGAGTTTTCTCTTCTGTATATACTTATTAACTTTTGGGGTTATGATTTTAAAAAGCCTTTTCAAACTTTAAAACTGTAGTGAAGACTTTTTTTTTACATAAAAGTTTTTTAAATATTAAGAAAAGAAAAGAAGAAGAAAGCCAGCTGAGCAGGTCAGAGAGTAGGCTAGTAGGCAGCGATTGTCATGGGTCCTGCTGGGAGTTCCTGCTCAAGTTCCTGCCTTGACTTCCATAATGGATTGTGACCTAAACGTGCAAGCCAAATGTACCCTTTTCTCCCCTAAGTTGCTTTCGTTGGTATGTTTGTCACAACAGAAGGCAAACCAGAACTATAACTGGTTTAAATCTTTAAAGTTTTAATTATTTAGCTTCCTTATTGACAGTGCTGGGAATTGACCCCAGGGTTTTGTGTGTACTAGACAAGTTCTCTGTTAATGAGCTACGTCCCAGCCTTGAAGCTTTTAATTTTTTACATGTATTGTTTATTTGTATATGTTTGTAAGCATCTGTATATGTGAGTGTGCATGTGCCGTACACAGCAGGCATGTGGCAGTTAAAGGACAATTTGTAGGAATAGGTTTTATTCCACTATGTAGGACCCTCTACTCACAGAGGCTTCTCACTGCCTCTAGCATTTCTTTTTGTATTGATAGCAAGAAAAAATCTACAGCATGAGTTTACTTGCTCCAGTAACAACTGCGGTAGACGCTGAAGTATAGCACAGACAATGGACCTGGCTTTTTATAGAGCAGGATTCAGATCCTTAAAATAGTTTGTGTGGATGGTGAGGAAGGATCGGTCAGAAGGATTAGGATTGTCTATCATTCCAATGTGTTTCATTTTGTTTGGTTTTGGATTTTGATTTTTTTCCCCCAGTGTTCTGTTACTTTTATTTTCTTGAGCAGCTCAATGTCTTGGTTTAGAAATTTGGGTAGATAATTTATGTACTTGATTGTCTTTATTCTTAGTAATCTACTTTAAATCAGTTTCTATTACATTGATCTATTGGCATATATTTATTAGTGTGTGTATGTGTGCCAGGTACATGATATGATTGAGGACAATTTTCTTTCTTTCTTTTTCTGTTTTTTTTCTTTTCTTTCTTTCTTTTTTTTTTTTTTGTTGTTTTTTGAGACAGGATTTGGCTGACCTAGAACTTGCTTTGTAGACCAGGCTGTCCTCGAACTCACAGAGTTCGCCTCCCTCTGCCTCCCAAGTGTTGCGATTAAAGGCGTGTGCCACACTATGACTGGCTCAGAGGACAGTTTTTGAGTGTCAGATCTATCCTTCCTCCCTGTGTGTTCTAGAGACTGAATTTAGGCTTGGTGTCAAGTGCCTTTACCCACTGAGCCTTTTAAGCCATTTCAAAACCAATTTTTAAATAAACAGTACTTTTAATTGTGCAGTACGATTGTAAATATAGCCATCTAAGGGTTAATATTAGTCCCAGAGTTGAGTTTCAATAGCTGTTAGTTTTGATAAGTGCCAATCTGGTTTCCAAACTAAATGGCAGTGGTAAATGGTAGATAATAGTAAAACACGTTTTAAAATCAGAACCAACTAGAGATGTTCTTGAAGGTAAGAGAAAGGTCAAATTTATTTAAAACAAAAACTACAGAGAGAAGAAATCACAGGTGATACATCTCTTGATTTGTAAAATGTAGTTGTCAAGAATGAGCCATGCTTTCTTTGCTTGGTGCCTGGCAGAGCATCGCCCATAAGGCGTGCGTACCTATGAGAGAGAGATTAACTGGTGAATGAAGCACTAGTGTTCGCTGATAGTTTCTGACTGGCTCCTCCCTTCCCAGGGCTTTACTGGTTTCTTTGCTGCCGCACCTGGTGATACTTGTCCCTAGATTTGTGCTGTGTCTTATCCCACCACCCCGGGTCCCAACAGTACTGAGATGGTGGTATTACTGACACAACGCCTTGTTGCCTTCCACTCTCTTCCTGCTGGAAGTCTCTTCAGTCCTTGCTGTTTCTGGTTTTATTCCTCAACTTCTCCGTCACACTGCTTTCCTCCTAGACATTTACTCTTCTTTAGATCCTTGGATATAGGGAGTTTGAGAACGTTCTGTGATGGCGGCTAGTGTGACCCGTGGGACTTGTCTTCTAGTGGGAGTTGTTGATTGTGTGAAAGAATAAGGAAGTGTGTTGTGCAGAGGACCTGGGTTCGATTTCTAGCCCAATATGGTGGCTTACAGCGGTTTGTTACACGAGTTTCAGGGCTGCTTCTTCTGTCTTCTGGTCTCCAAGGGCACCAGGGACTCCTGTGGTGCATAGACATATATAGGCAAATACACTCAAACATAATAAAGTAAATAAGTCCCTCCTCCCACTGCCCTAGCTTGGTAATAGGATTGGAGCTACGGAAGAGCTCCTAAAGGCTCACCTGACCTCTGCAGCATTCTGCTCTCCAGCCTCAAACTGCAGGCGAACCTCTTTGTTTCAGGACAGGCTTTGTTGACTGCATCAAATCTGGCCTCTGCTTTTACTTGATGACATTAGTTATCCCTCAAAGCAGAATGGTTTAAGTCTGTTTTTTCCCACCACCAGCTCTCTTCATATTCCCACGGGCAGACAGCAGGCTTTCCTTGGATTTAGATTAGGTTTTCCTGTTCAACTCTTTCATGAGTTGGGTACCAGCTCCCCAGAGGTCCAGTTACAGAGACCTATAAGCATGCGAGGGGCTCACAGTCTGGGAGGGGAGACGGTGGCCTGAGTCGGTGCTACATATATTAGGTGTCTGCAGACATGTTTGTGTCTTTGTCCCCTCCTAGTTTATCACTTGGTGTTCAGCATCAGACCCGTAGCCGC